GCTATTACTGACATTCATTTGAAAAATCTTAACGAGCACTGATTATGTGCCAAGTACTGTGTGAGCTTCTCACCACCCTTTAGCCCAAATCTACTCTTCCACTGAGTAGGATATTCTTATCCTAGTCATTCATTAGAAATGTGGGAGTCATCTTAACTTCTCCCACCTCCTCATTGCCCACTTCTAAATATACACCCGACTGGGTTCCACCTATTAAACCTCTAACAGCCCCTTTCCCCTTTTCCCGTCTGCACTGTCACTGCTCGATTCAGGCCTTCTTTAATGTCCCATCTGCAATATGACAACAGTTTCCAAGGTGTCTCTCTAAAGTCAATGCCACTGTCATCTAATCTAAGATTTTTTAAATTCCAATTTTTGTTATAATTTTTTAAACACATACCTGACAATATCATTCACTTGTTCAAAGGGCTCAGTACTATAGACCCTCATGGGGCCTTTGTGATCTGGCCCTTCCTGTCTCCCCAGCCCTCGCTCTGTGCTGTCACTAAACAGGCTGGAGTTTCCTGAATGTCCAGTGCTGTTTCACTTCTCTATGGGCGCTGTTCCTTCTGCTGGGTCACCAAGCCTTCCACTTGCCTGCCAATTCATCCTCCTATATGAAGGTTCATTATTTCATCAATAAACACTTTCCAACACTTCTCATGAGTCGAGCCTGGGACAAGTTCAGGGAGTACAATGCTGAATGACACACTCAACCCTTTCTTTCTCATAGAAAAAGTAACTTTAGGGCTCTCAAAGGAGGAATAAAGTTTGGGAATTAAGGTAAAGTTGTCTGAAATTTAGCAGTGTTGCCTTTATTAGTTGGATATCTTAGCAAACTGTGGAAACTTGGAAACCTTGATACTTGTGCATCAAGTTCAAAAGTGTCTCAGTAGATTTCAATTGCAACAGTAAACTGTGATATGGTAGATTTATTCCTTTTGGCTCACAAGGCTATAATGTGCTAAAAAAACCATTGATTTGAACTACAAAAACAATGATCAAAAACTTGCTTCAATATAGTGTTCCAAATTTATAAAGTATTAGGCGGGGCATGGTGGCTCACATCTGCAATACCAGCACTTTGGGAGGCCAAGGCAAGCAGATCACCTGAGGTCAGTAGTTCGAGACCAGCCTGGTCAACAGGGCCAAACTTGTCCCTACTAAAAATACAAAAGTCAGCTGGGTGTTGTGGTGGGTGCCTGTAGTCCCAGCTACTTGGAAGGCTGAAACACGAGAATTGCTTGAACGCAGGAGGAGGAGGTTGCAGTGAGCCAAGATTGCACCACTACACTCCCGTCTAGGGCAAGAGAGTAAGACTCTGTCTCAAAAAACAAAACAAAACAACCTATTAATTAGTCATACCATTTCCTAAAAGTCACGCTGCTAACTAAAGGTGACTGCAATGATCTAGGGATGGTAATCTGCTGAGTTTACGCTTTAAATACACTGGAACCCAGCAGATTGAGTTATATTGGGACAGAAACTTCACTCTGGGTATAGATTTACCCTAGCATCTTGTCAGCAGGATCCTATTATTCATGGTTGTACAAGCAAGGTTCGGGGAAGAGGCTGGCACAGAGAAAGTACCTGTTAACTGTTGTTTGGGACTGAATTCAGCTCAACTCAGCTCCAGTAGAGATGGTGCTGCCTTCTCTACCGTGTTGAGATAGTGTGCAGTCCCTTCCTAGGTGCTGCTACCCACCACAGTGGGGCCTGTCAGCTTCACCTTTTAAATTTCTCTGCTCCCGCTGGGACCCACCCGCTTCAAAAAGCACCATGTGGTTTTGGCATCAATTTAGTAAACACAAACTGTCTGAAATATTTTGATTTTAGAGAGTTACTTACAATCACCACATTAAATGATACATTTCTACCATTCAGTGAAAATGGTAGCAAAATGGTCATTGAATAATGAAATTAATTTTCTCCTGGGCTTCTGAGGCAAAGCACATGATTTTAGTGGTTATCTTAAATCAACCCAGTGACCTTTACTGGCATGTTGTAACATCAGGCGCCTTAGGAAACTGAAAACTCAATCGTCACTTCCCATACCACTGCCCCAGGGCAGCAGGGCAGGCATTTCACATCTAGAGTCTCATTTTAAATACAGACAGAGCAAGCCTCGCTTTTCAAAAGTTCATTAACAAAGTCTCACAATTAAGAGAGCAGCCCTGTGACTCATTTTTGGATACCTGTAAATAACAGCTCCTCCCTTTGCTGAGAAACGGCTGAAACAAGAGCGTGAGAACCACAGGAAGTAATACAGATCTCAGCTGGTGTCAGCGGAGTCTAGAAAAAGGCAGAATTCCCTCTCAGGACGGCGTGGTTCTCGCAGGCATTGCCACTACTTCTCTCCATTTTTCTAAAACAAAGTCTTACGTGGGCTGCGAAGGGACTGCTCCAAGGATCTATCAATTTCTCCGTCTTTCTTGGCTACTGAGTGACACTGCCAAGTTCAAGTCAAGAAGTACCCATTCTGGTGTTTTTGACACAGTCACCCTAATAGGAAGTGAAGAGGTGATAACACAAAAACACTTCAGTCTTTCGATTTAAAATAAAAGTAGTCTTAGGTGGACACTTTAAAAAGGCAGCCTACCGACAGGTATCCCTAAAATAATTCCTGTGAAGCACTAAATCCTAAGTCCCTCAGCCTCTGAAATTAAAAGTAATTTTAAAAAATCATTCCGCTTTATATGAGGAACCCAATCCTGTGTTTCCGAAGGTGCCCAGAGGCGGCGTGAGGACCTGCGCCAGATCCAAAATCCCAACTAAGGGACAGCCGCGGGTCCCGAGCCCAGACAGTGCCCCCGCCCGCCTCCCGGATCTCTCCGCGCACGGGGAATAGTCAGGAAGAGAAATGGGGGCTCAGAAAGAGAAATGGGGGCTCAAGGAGAGAAAAACAAACCTGGACCCGGAAAGAGAGCGCGAACTGAGAAGCCTCTCTCCGCGCAGGGCGCGCGTCCCCCGTGGGCGCCGCGATGGGGAAGGAAACCTGTTGCGCGACTCCCGGCGGCT